TATATATAATCAGATTTATAAATCACGACGCGAAATGGGGCTATTTCGCGCCCATGTGCTATGCGCGTCTCTGCGCTGTACGATATTAATTATTTAATCTGAGATACGATTCTATATCGACTCTTTTTCCTTTTCTTTCCCCTTCTAGCACGGTTCATACTCGTCGGCGAGCTTTAGCAGCCGACCTGGTGCAACATTGATGCAAATCGGAACACACGCATCCAGGCGAACATGCCAGTGGATGGTGAACGGCAGACAGGTGCTCGTGTCGATGACGATGTTGATGAAGCTTTACGTTGCTCCTGCGTACTGGATGCCGACGTTCGGCTGAGCGTAGCATCCATAGATGCTACATCGCTGCCCTCCGATTTTCGCTGCTTCTGGTGCTGCTGCTGCTGCGGCGAATACTTCATATCTGCGATTACGCGAGAGGTAAAGTGAATACCGCGAGAAGAATTGAAGTTCATCTACACGACAAGGCGTAAAAGCCGTAGCACTTAAACAGTAAAACGTAAGCAATAAGGAAATAAATGTATTGTCAACTGCTTACATTATACTTTATAGCCTTACTTTATTCTTAACTGTGATTGACCAATTCACTTATTGCTTACGTTTTAAAGCTTAAGTTTTTTTCTGTATACCTTGGCCTTAATACGATATAAAAGCACAAGCACAGGCGTAAAGGAAATAAATTAATTTTTAACGTCTATGCCAGCTGTTTTGCTGATTTTTCATGGTTTACACACAGTTTAGATCGCTCATCACCGATTTCTTTAAATGTGAAAACATGGATGAGAAAGATTATTATTAAGATTATTATAATGCTAAGGACGAAGAATGATAATGAATCAGACTTCTATATGTATACATTAGACTGATCCCTTTAACGTCCGTATTCATAGTCAAACCTTATATTTAAGGTTTCCTTCAGTTTATCTTCAGATGCTCTGCACGTTGTATACAAAAGTACACTGAAAAAAATATAGTTAATTTTAATAAATATTTAGTTCAATATTGCCAACTAAATATTTATTTATAGTAAATAAATATTTGTTCAATAAAAAAAATGATTGTTAAATCAAATTAACATTTCTTGTATCAAATAAATATATCTTTATATTTAATAAATATTTAGCTGGCAGTATTCAACTAAATATTTATTAAAATTGACTATATTTTTTTTCAGTGTAGGATATTAAACTCAAAAGTATACAAATGATATATCACATTGTAATATCTAAGTAAAGTTATTGCAATTATATTATAATATTTTACAATGTAACATCTCAATAATATTTTCATAATATTACATTGCAAGTTATAATATTATTGCAATATTATAATATCACTGCAATATTACTTCAATATTACATACTAAATGAGAAGTTCCTTTAACAAGTTATATAAGCTTCGTCTTCATATTTTTCTGGATCATTAGATTGATCGTCATT